TGACTTAGATATTCAGAATCCACCTCAGACATTCGCCGTCGCTAGGTCACAACGTCCATCTCATCGAGAGTAATGTTATAAAAGCAATATACACAACAATAAAGTGGAGCACTTTTATGATAGACAACTTCTTTGTTGCAGTAGTAGTTGCGACGTTTTGGTGTAGATCCTGACACCGTTATCAAGCAAATGATACACTGATATATTATTTGATTTGACAGACATACTGATATACAGAACTGATAGATTCAGACTATGCAAACCGGACTTTGTTATTGAATATGAGCAGGCGATGATTCCCCTGATGAAGAGTGCGTGCTTCACAACAAATTGAAAACGAATGTTCTAACCGTACAAGTGCTTCACGTTTTGGAAAATCTTTGACCGACGAGGAATTAATGGATTTATTAGTAAAAACGGCATAAACCATACTCACTCATCCATGACAAAAACTCTTCACATTCACATTCAATGATATTTTATTGCCGCTTCAAGTGCCCGGACTGAGGCAATCACGTCACTTTCAAATACACACTCAACAGTATACAATGTGTACAAGTGACATCCACCGTGGTCTACACGAAAGGCATTTAATAGTTATTCAGTATTTATATGACATTGCGTATGGCTTAAGTGAATACTTGGGTTCTTCCACCGCGCCTCGGACTATTTTTCGTGCACAACTATTGACATGTTTTCGGAGTCTCTTCTACTTAACCCTAATTCAAGACTCCGTTATTCAGGTTGTTGGGTATTGGCATCTTAAATTTGGTGCAACAATCGTTGGAAGCACATGTATGTCACAAGCCCTCGTGTCTTTGCGAAGATTTTGAAAAAAATATAAAGAAATTGAGATGACCCCCGACTCGAAATGCTTCAGTGCAGTACTATACCTCATGATTTCATAGTGTATTGTACTGTGAAGCATTTCGAGTCGGGGGTCATCTCAATTTTTAAAAAAAAATTCCAAATCTTTAATCCTCGCACAGACACGAGGGACTGTGATGTATTTCATATATTTTGACTACATACTATATAGACCTTTATAAGGCGGCGGTATGCATGCAACAGTCACATTTAGAAAACACGCTCGGTGAGTATGTCCAGCGATGATGAAATATTTCTTACCCAGACCAAATGCTCTCGAGATGCTGATATATTATTTGATTTGACAGACATACTGATATACAGAACTGATAGATTCAGACTATGCAAACCGGACTTTGTTATTGAATATGAGCAGGCGATGATTCCCCTGATGAAGAGTGCGTGCTTCACAACAAATTGAAAACGAATGTTCTAACCGTACAAGTGCTTCACGTTTTGGAAAATCTTTGACCGACGAGGAATTAATGGATTTACAAAATATTTCCAAAAATGTAAATACTGAGAAGAAGAGTCAGTGGGCAGCTCGTATTTTTGATTCATGGTACAAGGAAGGAAAGGGCATAGATGTGTTTTGGACAGACTTTTCTGAAGTTCAGTGGTAAGGAATTATGTGAACAGTTGGTATTGTGTGTGGCAGAAGCGAAGAACCATCAAAGGGTCGAATACCGTAGAAATTCAATATTTCCTCCGGGGAAACGGTTGGGATATAAACTTTTGAATGTTGAATGATTTTGAAATGTTAGATACGAAAATGTGGTCTTTGGCCCAGAGTGGAATTGGTATTCATACAGTGTTTGCTCTTAACCCTGACAACTGCAGGCCATACGGACCCCGAACCATAAAATGCCGTGGATCCTGATCAGAATGTGTAGGTCCTATGTCTTAATATGGAAATAATACCCTTTGTTATGCGGGATGAAAAATCTGTCGGCCATAAGGACCTGCAGAAAACAAAATCTGTGGGTCCGAGTGTTTTCCAGTCGGCTTTGGCCCAAGGACCGACGTTAATTTCGAACTCTGTATCCATAAGCGAAAAGCTGTCGTGATCACGCGTGAACAAGAGGATTTACCAAAGCAGAAGCTGGGGAATACTGGGTGATGAAACGCCATAACAACTGTTGGACACAACGTTTAACTTTAATGGTGTTTGCTTCGGGATAGGGATGAACATCGTTCGTTGAAAACTGGGGAAAGGGTTAATTTTAGCATTGTGATGAAGAATGGTCAAAAGCATTTGAGATATTCTGAGGGGGTGACAAAAACGAACAACGGGAGACTTAAATACAAGAATGTAATCCCTAACGATGTCCTGTCAGGATTTCGGTGAAGTACATGTCTTTAAGGTTGGTGCTCATTTATTGTAATTATTCATAAAAACTAACTATTCGAATAGAATGTAATAATGTAATTTGTTATTATATGTAAATAACCTCCCTACAACATGAAAATGGTGTTAGTAGTTGTTTACTTGCAGTAATATAAACAGTACTATATTGATAATACGTACACCAATCAATTTCTTAGCATAACTTCCAAATATAATTGCTAAAAGGTCATGTTCAGCTTCTAACACTTGCATGATTATGAACATCGTGGGTGCATGGGTGGCCCAGTGGTCTAAGACGCCATGATTCGCTGTGCAGAGTTGCGTCCCTTGAGCATGATAGGAAGTGGTAAACGTCCGGGACTTTCATTATTTAGAAGTTTCCTTCCGCATTTAGCTGACACGCCGTAATGTAACATGAATATTGCTCAAAGCGGCGTCAAACCAGGATCACTCACTGTTCAAGTGGAAATGGATCAGTTATTTCTAATGCCGATTACTATGTTTTGGATCAGACGAAATTTGTAATAATGTCTATTTTTATATAAATTGTGTTTTGGCGAACACCTGGTATCAGCACTATTTCACAGTGATCCATAAACTCATGCTCTGTCATCGTATCGCATGGTGACAAACACTGGATTGTCTGGTCCAGACTCGATTTGTTTACAAACAACATCGTACAGTTGGTACGAATCCGAATCCGTTGGTATATGACCACATGAATACGTGCAAACACCTAGTTGCGGGTACAGCAACGTGCAGTCTTCTTGGACAAAATACTGTGACTATGTGTCCCAGTCGACCCAGCTGTGAATGGATACCTCGTTAGGAAGAGAAAGCCACAATAACCCGGTGCGCCTAGTGGCTGAAAGAGTTGTATACTCCCCAGGGAGTTGAGATTGATAATACGATGTGCCATTGAGATTGACATCCAATGATCGAGGGAAAAAATATCAGCGCCTTGAGCAAGCACTAGTTGCTTGGATATGTGCACTATATAACTATCCTATAATAATACTCGTGATATAGTCAGAATTATACAATCGACTCTGCTTTCAGCAGAAATTTCTTATGGATGTGGAAACGGTTTTGTCGCTTCTATTTACAATATTCCAATTTTCTGTTAGCCCTAATCATAATCGATATGGTCTGCTGATCATCCTTACAGCAACAACAAAAAACAACAACCAAAAGACTATTCTTTGTCACACGAGAAAGGGTTTGATAAATGTAATAGACGTTTGGTTGTTATTTTAGAATAAGAACTGCTAGTCTACTTGCTTCCTATATTTCTTAATAATTTCGAAACCAAGATTCTGTCTTTATTGTTAAAAGTTTAACTGATTTATTGGACAGACGAATGCGACGCATTTTACGTGCGTGCCTTGAAATATCCAAAGCCTGACACGTGGTACTGCAGCTGAGAGGCATATCTTGTCCGGAGTTGTGAGGAGGCTCTGTGTAGGGGCTGGATTTATAGGATTTTTTTTACAAATCATTCTCTTCGTGCAACGACAGCCACACGCCAATACGAGTCTGGCACTGACGAGCAGCTGATCGCCGAAAGAAAGGACAGAGATCCTCGGCAATCAGGAAGTAAGTAAAAGTAATTTTTATATGGTCAAAACAGATCTCTTTATTCTGTCTTGTTATTATGCTCTTTTTAAAGCTAAAGTGTTATTATGACTATTTATATATATACTCGCCTTCATTGATCTAAGACCCGTGCAGATCCGGGTTAGAATTGGTCTTCAGTAACCCACATTTGTCGTGAGCGGTGGCTAAGGGGATCGGGTGGTCAGGATCGCTGACTTGGTTGACCCACATGTCATCGTATCCCAATTGCGTATATCGATGCTCATGATGCTCATCACTGGATTGTCTGGTCCAGACTCGATTATTTACAGACCGCCGCCATATCAAATATTTCTGGGTGCGGCGTTAAACAACCAACGAACCTACCAATCATTCATATCAACTGAAAAACACAAATAATTCAAAACTTGCATCAACGTCCCAATACATGTCCATATCTTTCACAGTTGAAAGAAAGGGTACAAAGAATTCTTTAGCAGAGACTTCTTATGCATGTTGAAAGGGTTTTGTCGCTTCTATTTCAATGTGTAAAGACAAATAAATTCCTGCATTGTTTGGTTTTTTTGGGTTTAAAATTCATCATTAGACCAATATTCTGCGTTAACAATTCGAAAGGCTTCAGTAAGTGGTCGCATCCTTTTTCACCAAATAATTAGATCCTACGACACAGAGTATTTTTATGACACTGCGTATGGCTTATGTGAATAGGGCATGTAAGTCTCGCGAGGCACTACTTCCGGCCGTAAGCTGGTTCCCGGCTCCCCTTGCACGCGCCATCTTGCGATATGCGAGACGGGACCCAGCTTACTTCCGGTACGAGATTTCCGGTGACAAGCGTATATTCAAGAACCAGTTCTGGTTCCAAATTGCGCGACTGCCAAAATATGACTTTACTAGACCGGACCAAGTGCACAATCATTCTTGGGGATGGTGAAATCGGAAATGTTTTATTCATGCAAAGATTATCGGTTCCTTACTATCAACTGACAACTATGAGACCATTCGAAAAGGTATGAAACGTTGTTTGTCACCGGAAGTACTAAGATCTCGCAAAGTGCCGTGACCGGCCCCATACAGGTGTTCATCCACCGCGAAACTGTAAATGTGGCGGACTTGGATTGTTTGGTCCAGACTCGATTGTTTACAGCCGCCGCCATATAGCTAGACAAACACAACACCAACTCTTGGCCTGGCGGTCTGACAGATGAGGATACGACCCGACCCGACCCATCGTCATGTAACTATCTCAAATTCCACGTGCAGATCATGCACCTTGCGCAAGTACAAATTCCCCATCGCTTCCGCAGGTGAAACATTCGCATCCAAACAGAGCTCAGGTAGGGTGCTTTCGGGGAGCGGACGAAGTTTTATATTGTGTTTGAAAGGAAATTAATGTCACTAAGACTTTGTTAAAAGAATATGGATGCAGTATCGTGTATGTACTAGTATTAATACTTCGTTTTTACGTACACTATGACATATAGTATTGATAAATTAGCTTTGAATACACAGTTGTACGTTTGCAACACCGAACTATGGCCGCGTGACCCTGGATACAGTGGATTCACGTTATATTATGAATTATGGATTATCTTGTAGGTATGGCGGTTTCGGCTCTCGTCTTTGCTGGTTTGGTGGTGAGTTGAAAAAGATATGAATTTATCTAATAAATTTCTAAAGCTCTTTTAATGGTGCACTTTTTGTAGCAGATTCGATATTCCGGGTTCGTGCTATTTTTCAGGCTTCGATTGTTGCGGAACTTCCCACCGGGTACATCTTAACAGGTAATCAGCATTTTAGCGTTTGAGTTAGGACTACATCTGAGTTGTTTTCTCCCTGTTCAGTAATATTCCAGTAATAGCACGGCGGACAAGCCAGAAATAAGCTGCACATACTTTACTGATGCAAATAACCGAGCCTTGCCCTTATGGTGGAACAATCTATTTTAGTCCTAGTGTTGAGTACATAGGTTCATGATACAGAGGATACATAATTACAAACATAGGGTAATCATAATGTCTTCATACTTTGTTAATTCAGAGAACGGACATAAACAATCGTTAGACAGAAAATGAAGAATAATTTCTCACTAAAACCATTTCTTCCAACCCGGGAATGACTTCATGATTGTTTCATATCACTGTATACATGCAATCTCCTTTTTATTTGATAAATGTGATTATTTTATAATTATTTGTTTATCTCAAAATTTAAACAGTGCAACCCAACTGTGGTAGTGACAGTAGCAGCGAAGCCTCCATCGCCATTCTCGCCGACTTTGACATCGCTGCTAAGGCAGTGTGTCACAACGGAGGGTTCAGCTTCGAACGTAGAGACCCAGTCCACTACAGCCTGAATTTGGTCTACCCAGGATCACCTAGCCAAGACAAGTGCATATTTAAAGTGGGTGTTTCGTTCGGTTGCCTTTTCTAATAGAGCTTTAGACTATATTCCAACACCACAGTCCCATTTATTCTATCTGCATTGAAAGAAATATTTACTGATCTTACATTTCCTGAAACCTAATCTGCTAACATTTAAAATATTCTGACCACGTATATTACCTCCAACAGATTGCGATCGTGTAACGCCGTAAATATGTAGAATATTTTAGAAATATCCTCTGTTCACACAAAGGAGTGATGGCAAAATTAGAACACTTGAAAATAATAGACTACTCAAGAGTTCCAATTTGCTGTGAAAATTGGACTTAAAGTGTCCGTAGTAACCAAACTAAGGACCTTATTGCGCCTCCAATACTTGATATACTCGTTTGTCGGTTCGGTAGCACGGTCGTTTGTCAGGACCAGAATCACTTTCGAGGCATCACTTCAAACCCTCATCGCTGTTTCTCCATTGCAGAAAAAGCCAGGCAGCGAAAAGTTCGAGGTGACTGTGTTCGTGTCCTTTGGGACGTCGAGTGAGACAATCCACAGAAAGGGGGAGAAGTACACAGTGACCTGTCCTAACAGCAACGACAGTAACTCCAACCAGATCTCCAACGATGGGTACGTTCAGCTCAACCCCTGTTTCCTTTATAATATAGGTACCTGGTTACCTGTTTGTCAAAGGCGACCAAATTCACAGGGAACTCATACTTGATAACTTGACTGATTGCGTTTCATCGAGCCCCGACGTTTGCTTATAATACCTGCAGTATATAATCCTGGCTTGATAATGTACACGCCGCCGTATTCCCATCCTCAATGACATGACGATTGTCACAGGTAATACACAATCTAAAGGCAATATTTTATGAAGAACTTGGTGAAAAATAGTCCATTCTCACATCACTTGTCTAAATGAGAGTATCTGACCAAGACCGAAACGTTAAGAAATAGTGTTGATATATTTGATATCAGAAGACACGAGGGTGAGATTCTATTTATCATTCAAAATCACTCTTCATTAATTTTCAATGAAAAATGTACATTTCTGAACATGGTACTGCCATTACACTTGCAGTGCAGCGATGTCATAGCATTGTGACGTCATCAAGTACATGACGTCATAGCATTGTCAGGGCATTGTACAAAATCTACTGTCAAAACGATATATCCTAGGAGATATCGTTTGATCTCACACAAGCGGTATCTCCTGTGGAACACAGTTTTGGATGATAAACCAAATTGGACCCGTATCATCCTGGTTAGAATTGATATTCAGTAACCCATGCTTGTCGTAAAATGCGACTATCGGGGTCGGGTGGTCAGGATCGCTGATTTGGTTGACACATGTCATCGTATCACAATTGCGTAGATCGATGCTCATGCTGTTGATCACTGGATTGACTGGTCCAGACTGGATTATTTACAGACCGCCGCCATATAGCTGGAATATTGCCGAGTACGGCGTAAAACTAAACCCACTCACTGCACTTGCATAGCTAGGGTTTTCAGGGCACATGTCCCGAGAACCTACTGTTTGTACTAAGGTGTCGAGTAAGGTGATTAAGGGCCAAAAGATTGTGGCATCTAGGTGATTGTAACGCCCATATTTGACCTACTTAGAACTGTCCTTGCTCAGTAAAAGTCTCGAGACATCAGACTCGATGACCTGGCTGAGTGTATGATGCGTGCTTCCAGGATACTGATCTCAGCTTGTTTTCTTTAGACTACAGATCCAATAGGTCCCAATGATACAGCTACAGTGTTGCCGACGTGACTCAATAATCAATGTTTATGCATTATCACGTGTATATAGATCGTCTTAGGTTGACCGCACAAGAGGAAATTCACCCCGTAAAAAGAAATAAATCAAAGATTACCTTGCACATGACTGACGTAACGGGAACTGACTTGAGTGGACAGAATGTACACCTGAAGAGTATGGTGCTGCTGACGGCAACAAGTAATGGTACGTATGCAGTGACAAGCCCTTTGACCTTAATGTGATTATTTTGAGGGAATGCCAGCTGAATACATTTCCTCCAGAAAACCATGGATGTCATGAAAATGTGCAACATACTTGAATTTGTATGGCTCGTGATTTTGCTGAAAAATTGTGTAGTTTGAATGTCCTGACCAACAAAACCTTAATAAACTCTCTCGCCCGTCTACCTCCCCTTCGACCTCCCTCGCCCATCTACCTGCCCCATCGTCCGCCCTCGCCCGCCCTCGCCCTTCTACCTGCCCCATCGTCCGCCCTCGCCCATCTACCTGCCCCATCGTCCGCCCTCGCCCATCAACCTGCCCCTTCGACATCCCTCGCCCATCACCTCCTCGCCCATCTCCTACATCGCCCATCTTTTCCCTATATCCGACCCAAATGGACAGAATTGCACAACAGCATTTAAGCACATGAGATCCTTCCGAAGGTTGTTATCGTGATGGGTTTGTTCCGGTTATGAGACTTGGTCTGTGAGCATCCATCGACATGTGAACAATCCTGTATGTGAACCCAGGTCACGACACCCGGTGGTGTGACTAGATTGCAGTTGTCTCCAGTTCAACTCGGTAATTTGCCATGGTTTCATTCAGGTGCTGAACACGAACTTGGCATCAAACCGGTCTCCTGTGATGCCGTCTCCCTCGCCACCAGTAAGAAATACACCATCCTGAGAGCTGGGTATGTTGAATGTCTAACCTTGCATTAACATTCGTTTTTGATGGGGCTGGCATGGTAGCCGGGTGGTTATTAAAGCGTTTACCACCAAGTATATATTTCGCTTACGGAAAAAGAACCAAGTTCGTAAAATCGACATGAAAATATCTACCACTACCACTTCGAAATCTATTATATGTTCATACCAAGGTACATAACACCCAACCAATGCAGTTTTGCATACGTTGAGCAAAATAGATTGTAATTGAAGGGCGCTAACTCCGGATGGCTTGAGGACATGCGTCTGGGCATACTATCATTTCGTCAGTCAGTCAGTACTTGTAAACCGGTTCCTACAATTTGTTGCACACCGCGTTCGTCCCACCGGGTACCCATCGAAACCGACAACTGATTTCTCCTTAAATTCTTGAACTCTTTGTCAAGAACATTCCCAGCACCCCAAGGGCCCATTTCAAATCGAGTATTTGGCTGGTTGCATGTCAACCTTAGCCCCTTCGACCACTGTCGACTCTTTATGCAACGGGACCGATTGGCTGGGTTGCATCTTGGATGTGCTCGTGCTTTCAAGAACGTGTTAGTCTGACACTACACCTATAGCTGGACCATTTGTTATTGTGCCAGGCGCGATGGGGTAGTCAAGTGGTTAAAGCGTTCGCTCGTCACGCTGAAGACCCGGTTTAGATTTCCCACATGGTGCAATGCGTGCAGCCCATTTCTGGTGCCATGATATTGCTGGAATATTGCTAAAAGCGGCGTAAAACCTCGCTCACTCACATAATTGTGGTGGCGTAAAAGGACAACGGATCCACCAAGGGGTAAAGTTGCTTGTTCTTCATTGATCGGAACTGTATTGAAACGTCCATAAAATGTTGCCGCACAACTGTATTTCCTTATTTCCCCGACCGCCTCCGTGGTGTAGTGTGCTTGTGTGCCACTGACATGGCCCACCTCCGTGGTGTAGTGGTTAGAGCGTCCGCCAGGAGAGCGGAAGATCGCGGGTTCGATCCTCGATCGCGTCATACCAAAAGACGTTAAAATATGGTACTTGTTGGTCCCTGCCTGGCGCTCGGCATTAATGGGTACAACAAGGACTGGTCGGCTAAGAGTCAGTATAATGTGTCTGAGTGGGGTATTCATGCTTCACTGCGGTATGGTATCTCGGTCTAGCACTATAAAACCAGCTTCAGTCTGGGCTAGCTCAAGCAGCCGCACATACACATACGCCTTATTTCCCAATACACTAATGTATGTACGCGTGTGTAGGTGTCGGGCTGTATGCTGACCAGAAAGCAGTTGCAAGCGTTGTACAATGAGCAACGAGTAACGGATAACCTAGGGTTCCCGGACTTTAGGTCATCTGCGTTTTGGATTTAAAGTCATAACCGATCTTAATTTAACCTTGACGCACAAGATTGAGGGTTTTATCTATCATCTAATATCCTCCATCTAAAAATATAATTCACGTTTTTCAAGCTTCATAAAAACAAAGGTGTATATTTATGGGAAAGGTGTTTGTAAATGGAAGAAAATGTGCTAACCCGTGAAGATCCGGGTTCGAATTGGTCTTCAGCAACCCATGCTTTTAACAGGCGACTAACTGATCGGGTGGTCAGGCTCGTTGACACTTGTCATCGTATCCCGATTACTCGGATTGATGTACATGCTACTCACGGGATGGTCCAGACTCTATTATTTAGAAACCGTCGTCTAATGGCTGTGAGTGCGGTGTTATACAAATGTCCATGTAACCTTACTTGTCCGATTTAACCTAACATGACAGAACAGCCTCTACAAGCACGACCGCCTCCGTGGTGTAGTGGTTAGAGCGTCCGCCCGGAGAGCGGAAGGTCGCGGGTTCGATCCCCGGCCGCGTCATACCAAAAGACGTTAAAATATGGTACTTGTTGGTCCCTGCCTGGCGCTCGGCATTAATGGGTACAACAAGGACTGGACGGCGAGGAGTCAGTATAATGTGTCTGAGTGGGGTATTCATGCTTCACTGCGGCATGGTATCTCAGTGGGCCAGCACTATAAAACCAGCTTAAGTCTTGGCTAGTACAAGCAGCCACACACACAAACACACGCATGCACGTCGTCATATGAGCGAAATATTCTCAAGCACGACGTTAAACCCAATTTCACCTCACCTCACTACAAGCACAGCACCGTGAGTTTCGAGCAGGTACATCTGTAAACAGTAAAACAATTAACATTCCAGACCAAGACTGTGAACCTTAGTTATACATAGTACAGAACCCAAGATCGATAGATTGAATTCTTAACCAAGGCGATATGTTTTAAAAACTATTTGAAAGTTATTTGTGCAGCCTGGTCTCTTAAGCTCAGCGTGGAGATGAGAAACTTGATCGACCATACAAGACACCCGTGAAAATCCGGGTTAGAATTGGCGAAATTCTCAGAATAGTGCCCGTGATGATCGTGTCTACACCAACCCATGTTTGTCGTAAGAGGCGACTAACGGGATCGGATGGTTAATACATGTCATCTTATCACAGTTGCGTAGATCGATGCCCATGCATTTGTTCACTGGATTTTCTGGTCCAGACTCGATTATTTTTCAGTCCGCCGTCATATAGCTGGAATATTGCCGAGTGTGGCATTAAACAACAAAACAACGACCTCGAGCCCTTCGCTCACATATAGGAAGACTGGTCATTTTCTCTTTCTTGCGCAACCCTATTTGCGGTACAGTTTGCCTGTGAGTGGACCCATCCCATGGCATGAGCCTCGTGTCCTGAATGATTGTGTCGGTGTCCTGAATGATTCTGTCGGTGTCCTGAATGATTGTCTCGGTGTCCCTGCCCTTGTACTGGCAATGCCGTCATGATCACGAAATATTGTTTGAGTGAGCCTTTGATCTCTAACTTGCTCGTTATGTCAGTATGTTACCAAGGGACGCACAGCATACATCTTATTTGCTGTGAAAGTCACGGCAGTTGTTGAAAATGTCATAGCCAATCTGACAAACATTGCATCTGCGCTGTTCCATGCGCGTTGTGCAGTGAAAGGTGGATTGCTACATCATACTAACATGCCTGGCGCGCTCTGCTACATATTTCACTGGCGTTTACAAATTCATCTCTAAACAGGCGTTGTGAATTTTCATTTCTCGGGCAACATTCCTGGTAGCTAAAGCGCCAAACTGCCCTTGAGATGTGGAGCATTTCCAAAACGCCCTGTCCTTGTCTACGAGTAATTTGCTAACTTAATGAATGACTTGTTCGTTACTTATATATGGTCGAAAAGGTAATTAAGTGGAAGACATTTCATTTCTATAAGGCCACACCGTCTACTTGCATTTATTTTTCCTGGCTTTCCAAGAGCCGGTTAACACGATGAATGCAATCCAAATGTCGGGGTTTACAAATATTTCAAATTTGTTCTTGGATAACGTAAGGAGGGTTTCAACAAAACGAGACCATGAATCATTTGGGCTAATTTCAACAAAATCTTAGTTGTTTTCCCAATACGTTTCTCCAACATGAACATAGGCTTGTTTGTTTCTGTAACCTTTGGTAACAATGTATGATGATGTTAGGCTGTAATGTATGATGATGTTAGGCTGTAATGTATGATGATGTTAGGCTGTAATGTATGATGATGTTAGGCTGTAATGTATCTGAAAGAAAATTACCCGTCCTTAGTAACAAGTTTGGAAATGAAATATCATCGTGAGGTTTGTGTTGTCGAATAACCAGTGATGTATTTCTAACCCAACAGATGCGGGGACGGACAGGTATTGCCCAAGACCCGGGGATTTGTGACATCAGGCCTCGTCACCCGAAGCCCTTACTTTGAAGTTTTCAGTATTGATGGAGAGGAAGAAATGAAATTTGAATGCAATTTTACCATCTGTGCTCGCAATTGTGACGGGGTGAGTATTTGAGGACAAATGTTCTCGTTGATAGCTTGTGAAAATAATACAAGTTTCTGTTGAATCCATCTTCCTTCATACCATGGGGAATGTTACACATGAAACGGTCACCGAAGGCCTGTGCTCCATACGAACCTCAAGTGTTGAATACCCATCCTGACCTGTTCAAGGCTTGAAAAGCCATAACTTGGGCTTGTTTATATTCAAGAAACTACGGTTATGAAACGAACTCATAAGAAACCATTTTCACGCTTTTCACCAAAGTCGTGACAGATCTCAGCTTCTGGTTTCCTCTTGAAATCCTATTTAAAGTTCACTTGATAATTATTGATTTGTCCCCTCAGAGTTCGTGTACAACCAGTAGGAAGAGAAGAGGGACTTTCTTTGGTGAGTATTGTAAGTTCCTTACAGTCGGTTATCTCGTCACCAAGATTTCCTTGTAGGCACATGGTGTAAGTCTGTGTTGGTTGTATGATGTTGGTGGACATGGCGTGTGGAGACGTTGCCACCACATTCTACACCAAAGCATGACATGCCTATAAATAACTTCCACTGCATTGTAAGAGAAATAACTGCTTACCTAATAATTACCCCTACACCAGACCGGTAAGGGAGTAGATTGATCTTAATCGCTTGTTCAATTTTGCCTTGATATTGCAAAAACTTAACTAACAACTGCTCAGTGTCCACTGACCATTCATAAGACCCGTGAAGATCCGGGTTAGAATTGGTCTTAAGCAGTGTATGCTTGTCGCACGAGGCCACCAACAAGATAAGGTGGTCAGGATCACGGACTTGTTGGCACACTTCATAGGTTCCCAATTGCGTGGATGCTGATGTTAATCACTGGATTGTCTGGTCCAGACTCGATTATTTACAGACCGCCGCCATATAGCTGGAATACTGCCGAGTACGGCGTTAAACAACCAACCAACGACATTCATAAAGATGAATCTTGCATTATCTATCGAACGCTTCACCAACGCCGTTAGTCACCGGTGTGCCCTTCCTTACCGATTTATATTTTGAAGGATAAAACTGATTTCCTAACCGTTGGCAGCCAGATACCAACAAGATACCAACCAGTATCTATTACTAACGTATTGTTTGTTTCAGTAGCAGATTACCAGAGCGACGTTGTGGCATCCTCTGCTATCGTTTCACGCATCCCGATATTCGCGGTCAGTCGTCCAGAGCAAGCCCTGGGTCGGGTGGTCATGGAGCGATTTGTTGACCATGGTCGGGGCAATTTGTTGGTTGCTTTCTCAATTCTGGGGTCTCTGGCGTTGCTGTCGGTCATCCTAACTATCACCATATGTGTACTTACTCTAAACAAAACACCATTAAGACATAAATCAGTACCACCTGTTGAATAAATGCGATGTAAGTTGTCGATTGTCTCTTTATTAAAGCAGTTAACTTTACTTTGCATGTGAATTCCTTGTAATAACCGTTCCTCTAGCAACTAATCCATGAATGTGATCAAGGATGGCGACACAATGCTTGTCATCGTTCGTAACCCGACTTCATATCTTAGGGGCGGTAGGGTAGCCTTGTGGTGAAAGCGTTCGCTCGTCACGCGGAAGACCCGGGTTAGATTCCCCACATGGGTACAATATGTGAAGCCCATTTCTGGTGTCCCCCGCCATGATATTGCTGGAATATTGCTGGAATATTACTTAAAGCGGCGTACAACCATACTCACTCGTATCATATTAAACTTTGGTTTGCCTGGTACATACTCGATCGTTTACAGCCCTTTATCGTCAAGCTTGAATGTAGCGGAGCTGGCGACTGTAACTTACGCCGTTGACACGGGTGACTGTGGCAGGAAGTCGGGCATGACACTAGTGCATCAAAGGACGACACATGCCCATTGTGCATTACAGTAGATGTCTAATGTGTCGGGTTTCAATTCTACCCCATCGACCTATTGATGAAATGTTAAAACCATCCGAAAGTCGATGCCAAGAGTTGACTCCCATCATCTTGGCTGTAACGTATGATCGGGGATTCGAATCCCGGTTGTACAAGTGATACAAACAGGCTATCGGATTGTCATTAATAGTTCCTTCCTACTCAAAGGCGACACTGAGAGCAATGTCCAGAAGACTATTCTGCAAAAGGATCGAGACTGGTTTATCTATTCGACAAGATGTCATATCTTCAGTGTGAAGTCTTGCATAAGCGTAAATGTTTAAGATGAGGTCGGGTCCTCGATGCCGTTCACCAATTCAGACCATCCACGGACACGGCAAATTTACGCCGAAAGATGCGCGGTGGGTCCATCGTAAACTGTGGCATAACTCCGTAAATCACTCGTTTCAGCACACGATTGTAATTGCCGCAAATAGCTCCAAAATTGCTGATGCGGCCTAAAGCAACATTTACTCACTCACTCTGCTGTATACTCCAATAATATAGTCCGTTTGTCCAGGTGTTCGAGAACGGATGGAGACGGCACGGCACGGCACAGCACAGCACAGCACAGCACAGCACAGCACAGCACAGGTTAATAAATAAATAACTTTGTCTGTGAACGTGCTTCTCGAACACCTGGCTGTCCCTTTCTCTGCACTCCTCCCTCGTAACAAACAGTGAACTGTGTCAATACCTTAATGATAGTTTGTTAAACAACTTTTTAATTTTTAGGACACAAATTCTGCAAAAACCTCAGAGTGGGTATAATGTTTTGATTATGATCAGCGTTTCATTGAGTATTTTATGTTTATTAGTTTTCGAGTTAGATTGCAATTCATCGGTCCGCATTTGAGCCAAACGGACTATACGTTGAGACATTATTGGACAATTGTTTAGCTCTTTCTCTTCAACAGAACCTAATAGAAGTGCAAGGTTGATGAGTTATTGTGTCACACATGGTTACAATACCATTACCTGAGTAAACAGTATAAAATATGCCGGTGATTTGAAACTTGGACGAAGATTACAGGCACGTCACATTTATTTAGATAAAGGTCCTGACTTTCAGGAATGCAACATGTCTAAACCAGTGTACACACAAATTGAGTTTTCACTATGTCACTAAAGTCCATTTACCGTAATGAGATGGCGATGATCCGTGATGTCACCTTAATTCTTGCTGTAATGGGTCTACATTTAATCGACATGCATGTGGATGTCGTGCGACGTCGTTGTGTCCTAAACGTGCAATGGGGTGCTCTTGGCCCAGACGGATTAATTTTGTATTTAGACTTAGGCTATTACCGTTCATGATCAGCTGTAGAAAATCGGTCGTTTTAGTGGATACATTTGTTTTATAGTTTTCCCAGAACGAAGCCAGCGGATAAACAAGGAAACCATTGGAAACCATAACTGCTGTGTAAGCACCACAGAAATGGTTATATTTGTTCTACGACAAAGGGGGTGGAAGGGTAGCCTAATGGTTAAGCGTTTGCTCGACATGCTGAAGACCCGGGTTCGATTCCCCACATGGGTGCAATGTGTGAAGCCCATTTCTGTTGTTTCCCGCCGTGATATTGCTGGAATATTGCTAAAAGCGGCGTAAAACCATACTCACTCACTCTACGACAAAGAGGGGTGTCGTCGTAACCTTTTGGTTAAAGCGTTAACTCATCACGCCACAGACTTGGGTTTGAATTCGCCACATGGGTACAATGTGTGATGCCCATTTGTTGTTCCCAGCCGTGATGTTGCTGGAATATTGCTAAAAGCTGCGTAAAACCATATTCACTCACTCATTCCACGTCCAAGAAAATAGTTATCTAAAGTAACCGAAGTACCAAAACCGGGGGTTCAGCTGTATCTGTGCTGTCTATTGCCACTAACTAATCACTGTCAATGTCATATGTAAGATATAAGCGTACATTAATGGAACAGTTTGTTGGAGATTAGAATCTAAGAATGAGGTCAATGTCATTATTTTCGAAAGTACATATTTTTGAAAAGTGTTTGATAAGGACTTACAAGTCATAACCAAGACATTTGTTATTTTTGGGAAATTAATCAAAAAGCATCAGGTGTATACTTTCTTTTGTGCGTCAGTTTATCAACCCGGACAAGGTATCGGAGTGCATTCCTTTCTCATTCTCACATTCCTGGGGAATATGACTGACACATGGTTGGAAGTATCTTTTAACTCGGTCACAAATTAATTTTTCAAACCTTTGTTGATATTTGTCCCTTTCTAGCATCAATTATAGTTTAGAAGTTACTTTTAAATAAAGATATTGGACATTATGAATATTCATTATTCGCTGCGAGATATACCTTTTTTCTGCGTTCGATTCAATTATATAATGGCAACGGCAGATGTTGCTATTCGCAGGGTTGTGTGCTTGTGTGTCATTGACATCGACCACCTCCGTGGTGTACTGGCCAGAGCGTCCGCCCGGAGAGCGGAAGGTCGCGGGTTCGATCCCCGGTCGCGTCATACCAAAAGATGTTTTAATATGGCACTGGTTGGTCCCTGCCTGGTGCTCGACATTAATGGGTTACAACAAGGACTGGTCGGCTCGAAGTCAGTATAATGTGTCTGAGAGGGGAATTCATGCGGCATGGTATCTCAGTGAGCTAGCACTGTAAAACCAGCTTAAGTTTGGGCTAGTACAAGCAGCCACACATACACATATGAGCGAAATATTCGTAATTATTACGTTAAACCCCATTTTCACCTCACCTCACCTCACCATTGATATCAAAGACGTTGATCGTTCCTCGCACGTTAGGGTACAGGATATCTGCGTCATCAACACATACTTAGACGTCTTCGTGGGGGCTCGGGGATAGGATGTGTTAACAACACCTCACTTTCAGTCGTTAAAGGCGACGACAAACTGAGGTAATAACGGGTTAAAACTGGGCCCAAGCAGCTTCAGCTTGTCTTAAAAGGCGACTTTATGAATCGGAAGATACAGTAATAGTGCATCAGAGAAGTGGATCCATGATCATAACGTCAATCAGTGAATTGTCACACATAGCTGTACTATTAGTTTACAAATAAACTCTGTCACGTTCAAAATCGTGACAAATGTTTACCACATTAACAGGATATACAACGGTAAAGCCATGGATTAAAGAAGTATTTTACGTAAGCTTCAGCCAGCTACATTCGTAACTACTCACCTCTTTCCGTGACCTACAAGAACATCCGGCTTGCCGGAACAACATGAGTAGTTAACAATGCACCCAGCTGGTGGACTTTGTTCCCGTTCGCCACCACTCGCCCATTTCCGTAACGTGAAGAAGGCTGGTCCCACTATCGATCGATAATGTTATGGGTAAAACACCCGAAAAACCCAGTGGGCATAAGTCAGATATACTTTAATAAAAATAATCCCTATGGCGTAAAGTCGCGCAAGTTGTATACTGTCACTTCGATATGACAGCCAAATGAATAACATATTTGTTTTGTAAACTGAAGTGATTTCAACAAGTATATGTGATCACGAATGTGCGCTTGTTTACAATCAGTTGACTGAGATTTTTTCCTTATATAATTTGATAACACAGGCTCTATTTATCTTCCGTAGTTTAATTCCGTTGAATATATTTTTTTTGCTAAGACGTTTTAAAATGTTTAAAGTACTGGTATTTGAAATAGTTTCAGATCTGAACTCTTCCATATGACCCTCAATGAATTCTTTTACCGTGTCCCGGAATAACTCTAAGTCTGTCGTTATATTCCACTGAATTAGTTTGTTGTTTAACGCCGCACTCTGCAATATTCCAGCTATATGGCGGAGGTCTGTAAATAATCGAGTCTGGACCATATACGCTATTGAATATTGATGTACACAACTGTCAACCAAGTCAGTGAGTCTAATCACCCGATCCCGTTAGTCGCCTCCTACGACAAGCATGGGTTGGTGTTGACCAATTCTAACCTGGATCTTCACGGGCACTGAGAATGTCGCCTGTACAACATGTTTGTCACACAAACCAAATATACTATACAGTTGTACGCATAATCAATTAAAAATAACTACCGAGTTAACTAAGTTCCTTTTTATAACTTCGTCATATGAGCGAAATATTCTCAAGCACGACGTTAAACCAAATTTCACCTCACGTCACCTTTTTATAACTGTTAACATCCGCGATGATCCCGCCGTGAAATCGACGGATGTAATCAGAGTTGGCTATTGAAATTTGATACCTCTGATTGGCAAATCGAAATGGAATATTTTCCTCGATCATTGTAGTATCTTGAATATAATTTTCAGCACTTGACCATATTCACCCCTTCGCTTCAGGAAAGAGATAAGACTTTGATGATGCTCCCCCTTTCAGATGACAAAAGTTAATATATCTGGAACACATTTTCATAGCGACGCAAAACCACATTTACCCACTATCTATCTAGGCATTTGTTTCAGCGTTACCTGGAATTGAGGATAAATCAATTTCTGATTA